AAAGACGGTATGGTATTTTTGTAGATGCTCAGAAGCAGTCTAAAACTGGCTGAAACATGCTACTGATGGCTAGATCCAACCAGATCTCGCTCACCAAATATTCTTGCGACTACATTTATGAACTTGTGCACTTGCACTGAGCCTGGTAGGCTGATATATTTTGTTTTAAAAGTGCTAGGTACATGCACAGAGAAGGAACAGTTGTGGAGCGTTACAATGAACGGGCAAGGTGTGATGAAATTGTCACTCCGCCTGATCTCAGACACGGCAGGCAACGAGGGGCTCTCGACAGCAAGTCGCAACGATCCTACGCTCAGCAGTGCCACTGGAGGCTGTCAGTAATGCGCATGGGAAACCGGGGAGGACCTGGCAGGCCCCAGGTCCCCCGTATACATGTTCTCGCGTGTGCCTACGTGACTTAAGGTCGACCTTGGAAAGACGGCTCGGCTTCTCGGCAGCAGCACGACTCGACGGCATCTGGTGTGACACTAGTGTGACGAAATTAATAAACGAGGGAGCAGGTCCCATTTTGCGCACCGGAATCGATCCGCAGCTCTTGCAAGACCTCAATAAAATACAACAAAAATGCGAATACATAGTCAAGGTGTGCGCACATCGATTTATGCAAAACCGCTCACGAAGAGGGGTTGTGGTAAGCTACAAGAAGCAGATTTGCTCAATTTTTATAAACCAGGGTGCCATCATAGTAGATGAGGACGACGAGATGGTGACAATCGGGCAATGGAGAGGCGCGCTGAGCTAAGAGCGATCGGGGTAGGCAGGACCGCTGGCAATGCAGTCGTCTGTCTCGGCAGACCTTTTTACAGCTGCTTCTCCTGATGCGACTGGCTCTAATCCTACCTTCTCGTTGCCGACAGGGGCATAAACGGCAGCGTTCGTCGGGCAGTGACCAGGCAGGGTAGGAAGCTATTTATAATTTGGAGACAGACTGGGAACAACCATCAGCTCTCGTATAACAACGACGATACTCGTGACAACATACCGAAAAGTCGATAAACTGGCAGAAGACGTCTCCCTCATAGTTTTGCCATCCTTCGGGCATCTTCCAAGACACTGTCCGCTCGGGTCCGAGGCAAACGAGGACGTAGTATAATTTGACAAGAGCACGGGCAGCCACAGCATCTCAGATAGCCTTGATTAACGGGTACCCGCGGGGTGAGCCTCCGTGAGCCTCGGCGGTCGTTATTTGGAAGATCCACACAACGGCGGTGTCCGGATCTGTCTTCAGCTCTACAAAGAAGGAGTCGAAGAGCGGGTTGTTCTTAGTTTTGGGTACACAAGACTGGTTTTCGATGTTGTTGATGAACGCGGATGCAAACGCTTTCTCGCCAAAATCGACGACCGTAAATGATCTACGGCCAAGGGGCAAGTGTCGGGGCGCATCTGCATCGCTATTCTCTTGGGTGACGAATTTTGGAGCTGTACGACTTCCCTCCCTCTTCATGGTGAGCAGGGGACCGCGAAGATTACTGGCGGAGCTCTGGCCGCATAGAACGCTGTGAACGAGGCCTTCGAAAATCCAGCCTCCAGTCACTGACGTTGGAGGATTTCCCACATAGACGTTGAATAGGCGTTTGGCTTCCCTGTGTTGCAAATATCCGTATTGTTTGATCGTCTGCTGACCGATTTCGCTCGACTTGAACTTGGGCATGAACCGATCGTCATCGGTGGACGATGTGGCGTGACGAACAGCAAATGACACAAGCACGTGCGAAAGGTCCAGAGTGTGCGTCGTCAAGTCGGAAGTCGCTACCACTTGCATAGCCGTTACAAGGCCGTCTAGTGATAACTGCGCTAGCGCGTTCTGGATTCGCTTATCGGCGTACGACTGGTAAAAAAATGGCGTTGTAGACATCGCGAGGGGCTTCGCCGTAATATTGCATACGGAGACGCAACAATTCCTCGAGTACGCTCACAGCACGATCGCGAGTAGGCAGGTCTTCTGGGAACGTGCACTTCTGTGATATTTCGCAAGCTTGCTTCAAGCCTGCGACGTCTTCGAACGCGTTCGGATCAGGAGGATTGACCAACGCGCTCTGTAAAGCTTCGAGGAGTGGAGGATATTGTCCATGCAGCTTGAGGCTGAAAGCATGAACAGGTTAGTAGAGGGTTCATGAGGAACATGAGGGGACGCGCCCCGCCTGAGGATCCCTTTCATTCCACAGGGGCATACCCCAAACTACGGTTATGCGTTGTTTGGTCCAAGATTGGTACCGATCAGCCTTCGGTGAGCTAGCTTGCACAGGGAAATGAGCGCTGCCATGGCCAACGAGTAGCGCAGGAGGAGAGCGAAGCTCGGTGTCAGAATCGATGAAGCACCATAGCGGCCGCTCGGGATCAGAGTTCGGTGGTAAAGCCAGGGGCGCTCGACTGAAATATGCTCGCTCGCCGTGGAACAGACGGTGCCGTTCCTTGGTATAAAAGAGAACATCTTCGCCCTCTGCAAGCAAGACAGCAAGGAGGAACCACAGCCACGTGGTTTGGCCTAAAGACAGCTCGGTCAGCGCCGCCACGGCAGAAGACAAGGTAGACTAACCTGTCCCGGGCTGCCCTGTCAGCAACACCGCTCCCTCAGGTCGTAACTGTTGATATTTCACGAGCTGACGATGAAATCTCCGATATGGTTCCAGTATAAGGATTGAACGATTGCGGCTAGGTAGGTCGTCGGCCAGGTGCAGATGCATTACATCTTCTCGGACGATGTTTTCAACGTCTTGACTGCGCCAGTGTCGCGTGAACTCTTGCCATGGCCTAGGCGCCCGTTTCCACTCATTCTCAGCGAAGTCAAAGTCAAAGTTGGACATTTCGACCGTAGGGGTACTGGAAGGAAACCTGATGGATGTTGCGTACTGCAAGCACTGAGCGCGCTAATTCTGGCAATACTTTATGGCGGTCCGTTTGCACAAAAATTAACGCGGCATACAAATTGAGATTCCGCCGTCAAATGCATAAGTTATTGCCTTCAAGCACATTAAACTCCGCCATTTTCACATTACTCTCGCCGGCAAACACGTTCACTCGTCGGCAAACACATGCTCTTGGCGGCAAATATGTCACCTTTCAGTCCGGCTTCGATACACCACTAACTTTGCTGTAGCTGGGAGCTTGCAGTCCTATCTTTCTCTGTACGTAGCTCCAATAACGTGCATTATCTGATACTGACGCGGCCTATCAGGGCTCGCATGTCATTCTCAACATCCGACGACTGGCGACCCCAGAGTATCTCTCGCAGACGGATGTATCATCCCTGTGGGATTGTGCCCCAGACACGACCCCCGAAAACACAATACACGACCGCAGTGGAAACCGATTTTTGGCCGCGATCGAGCTGCAGAGATTGTCGCGGGCGGTGGTGCCTAGAGCGTGGTAGCGGGGACGTTCCGTGTTCCAGAGGTCCACGTGGGCTGGTCTTCTGGTGAGCTTTACGGTACCTGGGATCGTGTACTTGTACTCGACTAGTGCTACAATGGAAGCTAATCTAGACGTCGGTACTCGGTGTGCGCGTGCACTCGTGAGGACGTTCAGGTGGAGAAATTAATGACGTCGTCTTTAGACTTTGGCTAAAAGGGCGGTGCGAGAAACTGGTGGAGCACGAACTCTCACTTTTGTCCACCGGAGGGTTCGTGGATTCTTGCTTTAACGGTATGTCTCTGTTGTATACGGAGGTTAAAGTTATGTTGACCGCGATCCCACCCCACTAGACATGATGGTGCTTTGCACAGTTGCGGGCCCGAGATCACGGGAGTTCTTGACTGCAGCGCGCCACCTCTTTTAGGCTTTTTCCAAGCCGAGTTCAGCCACGGAGCGTCGAGAAAGATACTTGGGGTGACGGCATGAATGGACGAACTGGTGGGCGTTCCGCCGTCCTTCTATCATCGCCACGTACTGGCTACAGGTAAGGCGGACGTGTTATTGCGGTGTGCTAGCTCTTTCTCCAGCTTCTCACGGTGATCCTAGGCAGACTGACCCTAGCGAACGGAGCACAGCAGCTGCCAGAAATGCGGTGTTCTTCGTCTCCTTCGACAGTATGAGCTCACGACTGACACATCCCCAGCCCTTGATGGAAGCGTGGCGCCGCCTGATTAACGAGTAGTGTACGTAGTTTGCGCCTGTTTCTTGCTCCGCCGCTGAACGCTGTAGCTAGCTGCATACTATCCCTCTTCTTCTTTGGGTCGGTACAATAGAGAGCCTTCGGACGTCAGGAAATTCGGCATGCCCAGCTCGCAGAACATGAAAGCCCACTCGATCGCAAAAGTAAGCACTGCGGGTCTAGCCGGTGGGACCGTGTCCCTCGCTCAACGCCTGCTCGCATCTGTCAAGACACTTGAGACGCGATGGCGGGATAGCTGATGGGCATATAGTGGAACTCTGACTGGCAGTTTCCTGCAATGAGTGCCCGGTGCAAGACACGTTCGTTCGGGATGGCGTTATGGTGGACTCAATCATGATGCTCTGCTTGATACGAGCTTACATCCTGCGGCTATTAAGACCACAACCCACTGGGACATCGAGGATCTCGCCTCTCATGCATCTCTCTCCGACTGGCACCCTCCCTCGGTGCTGATGGAGGGCGACACTACCCGTCAGATCCTGGTCCTTGGAGCACAGAGAGGTCACGAAGCCAGTGCAAGTAGGTTTAGCGTGCCTCGCTGCTACTACAACGCCGTTCTCACCTTCTGCATCGCTCAGTCGCTGCGATTGTAGGGATGACATGGGACACTTGTATCAACCTCGGAGACGAGGTGAGTATATGGAGCTCTCGCACCGGACTTTGGGCTGATCTTGCTTACCTGCAGGTCGG